TTTTTTTTTTTTTTTTTTTTTTTTTTTTTTTTATTTACCATCAGTGGTGGTCTAGTTGCTTTAAGATCCAAGTGTTTTAAGGCGCGATTAATATAAATAAAATCGGTTTTGATCGAATTTATTGAGTAAAAAGAGTTAATTTTGAATAAAGTTGATTTAGTGGAGTGTTGAGTGGGATTTTGAGTTTGTATTTAAATAATATTCAAAATATAATGATTACAGCTGATGTGATGTAAAAGTAGCAGATAAGTGATTTGAAATGATAGGTAGTTAAAAATACGTGAGTAGATGAAAGCTGATGTTCGCTTTTTTCTTTTTCTTTTTTTCTGCATTTTATTTTATTCAGGGGTCGAAGTATTTTTTTTTTCTAAATTTTCCAGAGACTTGTTTAATTCAAGAAGGCAGATGTAGGGTTGTGGTGCATAATTTATGCATCACAAATTGCAATACACAATAAAATTTTCTTTAAATTACTAAGTCAAAAAAATGCGACATAGTATAAGGTGCAAAAAATTATTTACCCGAAATAATATGAGAATCATGAGATAATGGTTAATGATTCAAGGGGTGTTAAATGAACTATGGACTAAGTTTATTGTGTTCCTTTTTCTCGTGAATAAAATTATTTGTGGTCTAGTGAATAAAATTTGATATTTCAATAAGATGACCCCTTTGTGTCTCTGAAGAGTCGAGTATAGTAAAAAGAGATACGCACATAGTGGAGCAAGAAAGGGATATTTTATTATTTTTACCTAGTAATTCTTAAACAAATTCGTGATACGACTTGTACAAATTTGGGACACTTGTCACAAAATGAAAAGTCAACCGGACTTCATATGTACACGTGTTAGATGGTGAGAAGTGCTACGACAGTTTCTTAAATTACCATTTCTCATACAGTTATGTCAAACTACCTTAATCTAGACATGGCCCGGGAACCGGTACCGGCTCGGACCGAACCGGCACCGGTACCGACATGAATAGTGGCGGGTTTTTGAACTGGACCGCAGACAATGTGGTCCGGTTAAGGTTCTCCTTTTTTTTTATTTGACCCGCCGGGCCAGGACCGGTTCCGGGCCGGTTCCAGTTTTTCTGACGGGTCATAGTTGTTTTATTTTTTATTTTTTATTTTTTATTTTTTTCAACCCGGCGGGTCGACGAACCGCCGGCCCATAGGAATTGTCGGGCCGGTTACGGGCCCACCAATTAGGCCCGTCGAAACGGCGAGCCGGGACGGGCCGGGCCCGGACCCGGCACCTGGCCACCTCTACAAACCATTCACAAATCCGTGGTGGCACCGGCCCCTCCAAAAAAAATAAAAATTTAAATTAGGGGTGGAGGATTTTGTTGGAACTGGAAGATTTTCCTTTGAGCGCGCATGTTGGGCCCTTCCCGGTTTCATGCGGTACATACATGGCCGGAGGGGCGCCACTGGTTTTGTCGTGATTTTTTTTTTAAAGGCAAATTGGGCCCTCCCCGAAATGAGATCCTGGTTTCGGGACAAGAAGAACTATAACAGCAGCATAATTTAACATTTTTTTCATTTGTATTATATTTTGAGTTGGTTAATTAGCCGACTTGCGGTGTAACGATGGGACTAAAAAACCGAGTCGATCATTACCGAAAAATACTTTTATGAAAGTACGGGAAGCGGAGAGTCCGCTGGTGGCATCGATTTATGATTTTGAGGTCCCGACCATTTATTTTGGGTAGCCCGAAGTTGAGAGAAAAATGACAGTGGCGGTGATTTTATTGTCATTTTCATGTCTAGACTTCGGGTAACCGTCGGCCCTCGTTAAGCGTGCTGAAAATTAGTGGGAGTACTTTTTTGAAAGCACGAGAACAGTAGAAGTCGTTCGTAAAATTTATTTTACGTTTCGAAATTTCGTGCATTTATTTTGAGAAGCTCGAAGTCGAGTGCGCATAATAGAAAAATAAAAAGCCGTTTTGCGAGGTTCCGTAAGGTTGCGTGTGACCTCGGTTTAATGAGAATCGAGTTGGAATGTTTAGACAATTCAAACACGATTCCATACAGACAATTGGGCCCTCCCCGCGGCAAATTGGGCCCTCTCCGAAATGACCGGCTGGTTTCGCCACTGCACGTAGGATTATAAGGAGCACTAATTTGAGAGATAGTAATAGTGTATATAAATTTCATTTGCTCAATAAAATTAATCTACTATAGAAAAATACGTCTATTTGTTAAGTTTGTGTATATGTTAAGTATCACTTATATACTTTTACAACAATTTTAAATTCAACATTTTGATACAAAATTGTGTATAACAATGAAGTATGCGTTTTCATTTGTTAGGTTGTGAGCTAATACATGGTGTATTGTTTCAAAAATATTTGTGGAAATCATGGAGCAATTTTACTAAAAATGAGATCTTAAGGATGATAAATATATATGTATAAGAATTACTTTAGAGATCACATTATTTATGTATATATAAAGCTCTCATTAAACATTAATAATTATTAATATACCCATCTAATTATATAAGCGTGCCAACCCATAAGTGTTTATCTAATGCATAATTACCGTCAAATATTAGGAAGATGTTACGGTCTCGTTACGAAACCATTTTCTCGAGGTTTGTAATCGTTAGATCAATTATCTCTGACGATTACATGATAATCTAACAGTTACAAACCCCCGACGGAATAATTTCGTAACGGGACCTTAGCATTTCTCCAAATATTAATCTAATGCATAATGTTACTGATGCAGAATAATTATATTATTATTATTATTATTATTATTATTATTATTATTATTATTTAGTAGATTGGTGAACAAGTTAGGTTTAGGGCTTTAGGAGTTTTATTTAAAGACTCCTTTGTTATTGGAATATTAAATAAGAATTGATTGAGTTTGTGAGTTTTACGTGTTTTACGAGAGAGTATCTCGTTTACTCGTTTTATGCTTCCCACTCGTACGCTTTCCCTACATCAGTTGGTATCAGCAGTCAGTACGATTCGCGATGTCGCCGGGACGACAAGATGCTGCAAACAAACAACGTGATGCAACCTTCAATGATCGGTTTCAACGGATTGACTACCGATTTCAAGAGTTGGACGTGCGTTTCACAGATTGGTTTGCCGATCTTTCGACGAGGATCGAGAATTTGCATTTGATGCTTAACAACGTGGTTGTTTTGGAATTGCAAACGAACCGCGATGAGGCTGTGGGTCGTGGCTTTCGCGGGGAGACAGAGGCGGTTGTGGGGGACTTTACCATGTCGGGGCGCCCCAGCAACGATCCCCGCCACCTCCGAACAGCAACGATGTTGGCGATTTTGGGGCTCAGCAGGAGCAGTCCAAATGCTTTTTTTGGGCATGTGAAGGAGATGCATAAATTAGGCCTGTGCAGAGAGAATTTGGTCGCAAGGTTGGTCGATGGGATGACCCATTTTGCGTAAATCCTCAAATTCGACGAAGAGCGAGATGACGGGTCATTGTACGATGGTCCGCCCATTTTTTATGAGAGCCTCCGGTGATGAAGACATATTTATGCGATAATATGGGTCCCGTGTGGGACGTCGCATAGGTTGAGTCTTCAAATGGGAAGCCGTCGTTTAGACCTGATTTTCAGAGTATCTTGGTTAAAGATGATTTTTTGGAGCCGAAGCCGAGACTCAATAACTGGTGGTCATTTTTCGATTTTCTATCTCGAAGTCTCCCAACAACAGGGTGCTTGGTCGTAGTTATGAATTTGAGCATGGTGAACGATGTGGTATGTTTGGTGTTATGCGTAAGGAGGCGTGTACATGTCCATTTGCAGTAGTACAACACTTGCTCAAGCTTATGTTTCTCATTGGGGTTGTTGGACAACATTCATCTTTTGTGTTCCATCGAGAGAAAGGTTGGACTATTCCTGCCAACGGGAACGGGTCGTATTCGAGGGCGAATCCTGCTCAACCGGATGAGAATGATGCAGAATAATTATATTATTATTATTATTATTATTATTTAGTAGATTGGTGAACAAGTTAGGTTTATGGCTTTAGGAGTCTTATTTAAAGACTCCTTGTTATTGACAGTTGAATATAAAATAAGAATTGATTGAGTTTGTGAGTTTTACGTGTTTTACGAGAGAGTATCTCGTTTACTCGTTTTATCCTTCTCACTCGTACGTTTCCCTACATCAGTTACACTATGATGTCGTGTCGTCTTCATGACCTTATGATACAATGCTTCTGCATGTTTTCGAGATTAACTCAACACTATTAACTTATTAATATTTCTTTTACCAGATTAGCGCTCCTATTCACTTGGATTAGATAAGTGCCACGACTTCTCCTTGAAAACTTATCAATATTCTAAAACATATTAATGCAAAATGCAAATAGCTACAACCATACATTAATAAGATACATAAAATATATAAATAACATTGGAATGTTCTTTTGCATGAGTGGTTTCATGAACATGTTGAAACATTGAGATTCGCCACCAGTTGTAAATCAATTTTATTTTTTTATTTTTTTGAAAAAAGAGATAATTGCTTCTAATATATTCGCTATAAACTATAAATTTAAAAAGCTGCTCTCATGAAGTTGGCCATGCTCTTCATAACATAGCTTATATATATATCTTTATATTTTAAAACCCCTAAACTCAAATCTCATTGGCTCCTGCTATCTACTTCTCTGCACTTGGCTTTTTATCCTATCCAAAAATAAATAAATCAAATCCAAGAACAAGCTTTTGAAAGATGAAGGTACTTAATGATTTGAATATATTTACTTTTAGTTCTTTCTTTTTTTTTTTAATTAATCTTTTGTGTGTGTGTATGTGTGCATGTGTGTGTGTGGTGTAGTTTTTTAGCTGGATGCAGAGTAAGTTTAATGGAGGAGAAGGGGATAAAAGAGCCAAGGCAGTTAATGCTACTAACAGTAAGTGGCTTTTTCTACACATTCGATATTTTTCCCATGCATTTTAATCAATGGGAGATGTTCGGGGTTTGTAACTGTTAGATCAACTATCCCCGACGGTTACATGATGATCTGACTGTTACAAACTCCGACAAACTCCAACGGAATGATTCTGTAATGTGACTGTAGCACTTCCCTTAATCAATATTTAGTTTTTGCCACAAATTGCGATTTGCAGTGTATAAAACTTAATACATGTTATTTGTGTGTGTGTGTGTGTGTGTGTGATAGGGATTAAGGAAAGTAACAAAGTTACATAATAAATAGTTAATGAAGATTGAAATTATATATATTTTTCTCATCCTATATTTTGAAACTTTTTCCTCATCCTATATTTGTATTTGGTTCACGTTTGCATGACAACATAAGGTCCATGAATGAAACAAGCTTTTTGTTGTTTCATCATCCGTGTATATGTCAAATTGTTGTCTGTTTATTGAATGCTAAAAAACTTTGAATATTTATTGATTAAAAGAATAAATATATTGATTTCTGCTTACATTTTTTGCATATCATACAAAAAAAGAACCTCCCAAAGAAGAGTTCAGCGACTGGCCCCACGGACTGCTAACAATCGGAACATTCGGCAACACTACCGAGCTACGAAACAAACAAGAAAACCGAACAAATCAAAATCGCTCGGAAATTGAGAATGTCCCTCAGGAGGAGCTGCAGTGTTCGTCCCCGGACTTCTCGGAATTCACGGCTGAGGAAGTTGGGAAGCTAGAAAAGGAGTTGAAAAGGCTCTTGAATAAAAAACAATCTTCGAAATCGGCCGAGGATCAAATAAATGCTGTCCTTCCGTTGGATAGATTCCTAAACTGCCCCTCAAGTCTGGACAACCGCGCGATATCCAACAGATTCAGCACTTATTCTGACGATAAGGATGAAGAGGAAATTGACCGGACGATCAGGATCATACTCCGGAGGTGCAGAGATGTGAGTGAGAAGAAGAAGAAGAAAACGATAGGGAAAGATTCGTTAACTTTTCTGGTCAAGAAAATGTTCGCTTGCCGTACTGGATTTGGGCCGACTCCTAGCTTGAGGGATACTTTTCAAGAATCAAGAATGGAAAAGGTATAAGCATGCAACTATTTATTATAAAGCTTTTAGTTTATAGTTCGACTTTATTTTATAAACCGACGTGCGTATCTTCACCATTTGACATGAAACGATCGACCTCAATAATAAAGTTTTGATGGTACACCATGCAACAATCTTTGATCATAAACTAGCTAGCTATATAGGTTACCATAACTATGTATTTATGTTAACTTCTTGTGTTAATATTATTGCAACTTCTAAAACTCATTTCACTTGATCTCATGCAGCTGATGAGGACCTTGCTCACCAAGAAAATCTACTCTCAGAACTCATATAGAGCATCATCGTCGAAGAAGTATTTGGAGGACTACAGGCCCGCATCAAAGCCCGAAGAAAAAGAAGAAGAGTCGCACGATAAAAGTCGCGCGGCCAGGTCTAAATGGGACAAGACGGATTCTGAATGTGAGTTTATTTTCTAAGAGAATAGATATTAATCTAACGGTTGAGCAGCCGTATTTTTCCTTCAAATATGCGTACTCAAATCGAAGTATACCCAAGAGCGCTTGGATGAGATGGCTTGGGTCTCTTCCAGCTTAACCAGTGGTCTCGTGTTCGAGCCCTGGGAATGCAGCAGTGTTAAAAACTCTTGAGGGAGAGCTATGCCGCCCTTGTGGTCCTACCCGGCTCGATTCTGGATTAGTCGGTTCCCCTGTAGATCTGGAAACCGGAAGGTCCCTATACCAAAAAAAAAAAAATCAAAGTATCATACTAACATAAACAAAAATATAACATTGCACAACATAACGCATTTTTTTATTTTTTATTTTTTGGGTTGAATAGCTTAGGTCGTGCTTGTTTATATAAAACATTTTTTTTTACTTTTTTTTATGTTAACTAGAGTTTATTTGAAAAAAGTTACTATAATTAGTTGGTAGTTAGATTATAAGTTTGTATTAAAATAATATTTAAAATAAAATCGAAATTGATTTGATATAAAAGTAGGAGATAAATGATTGAAAATGAGAACTACGTAAGTGGATGAATAGTGAATTAAAGTTGATCAGGTGTCTAAGAATGATAGAGTGATATTATTTAGATATTGATAATGTTGACGATAGTCGAGTTGAGTTAAAGTTGAGTTAGATTTTAAATTGAGATAATTTTTTTTCGAGTTCCTTTTTTTTTTCGAGAAATCTGATAAACAAGCCAAGCCTTAACGTCTTTAGGCTGCTTTACACAAGAATTTGCGTGATCTATGTAGTTTTTGTTCAAAATTGCAATTGACAGAACAATTATTGTTTTGCAGATATTGTTCTAGAGATTTAGAACCAGAAGGCTTTGAGAAGATAATTCATGAGTTCATCAAAATATTAGCTAAAAAATTGGATTTTCTGCACAAAATCATAAATAATATATATCTTCTTGATGGGAAGGAAGATTTTCCTGTC